TACTCTCCTAACTATCATTCAAAACCTGCAAAAAATTGCATTACTTTTGATAACAGTACCAAACATAATAAATGAGATTATTAGAAGTTCCACTTTAACCACCACTTTAAACACGCTACTTACCTTATAGTTCATAAGTAGGGCATTGGGAAACAAAGAGGCTGTTTCAAAAAGTGAAAAATAATGTGTGTTCCCATCCTGTGAATTCTTTCTTGGTCCATATTACGCCCTTTCTAAAAGCAGGCAAATCATTTTCCCAAATCCAGCTTTCAAACAGGCAAATACAAATGAAAAAACCAAACCAATATTTTGGTTGCATTTTGCATCTGGATAGCAGAATAACACATAAACTTCTGGCCAAATATTCAAGTAACTTGTGGGAAAGGTGTGGAGCAGATCTGAAAGACAGGCAACATAATTCAACGCATTATTTTTCAATTATGACACTTTTCTCTTGATACACAGTATGGGGCCCTTAACTTCTGTTTTATACGCCCCACCCCCCTTTGGAGTATGTCCCTCTCCCTCTGCCTTAATCGCTTTCTCCCCCTAATCCCACCAAACGACAGCCAGTCATATAAATCAACATGTTTACAGTGAAATGTTTCCAATTAAAGAGGACGCTCGTTAAGAAGCATCAATGGACACCGCTGGATCCTTAATTGCCTGGGATGCCAGTGTGTGATGCATATTAATTACGTATTAACCTCACACACACAAACGGGCACACACACACACAAATGCATAAAAGAGCATTAAGTGTGTATTGCATATTAATTACCTATTACCCTTTGTGCTGTGCTTTAAGTGCTGCGTGGCATCAGAAAGACAGCTTGCCCAAGGGCACACACACACACACACACACACACACACACTCAATACCACCAACGCGGTCTACTCACTTGCATTCACAATGAGGAATGAGCCATTTCAGTCAGCCAGCCATGACCATAACTAATCTCACCACAGCAATTGGTGTGTGTCTGTGTGTGTGTGTCTGTGTGTGTGTGTGCTCAGATATGAAGATTTCTGTGGGAGTGGGAGTGTCTTTTAAAGATTATTTAACGAGTAAAGCACCTGATCCAAAGATCTAACAGCCTGACTGTCCTTGCATCTGGAGAGCCTTCATCGTAGGACATCTATTAAAATAAAAAATGAAAAAATTATTCAATTAAAAGAAGAAAGTAGTCACTGAAAAAGGAGATTATTTTTAACGCTTTCCAAAAGTAGATATGTTTAATATTGTATCGGCTTAAAGGTTGGAGTGTATGGTAGACTCTATTATAGAGATATATAATTCATTATTGAAAATGGCTTAATACATTTCCTGGTTTTGCTAAAAAACAAATGGGAATGTCTCAATCAACTTATTTGTACAAGTATACAGCTATGCTAACAGCTTAATTAACACTGTATTTTTAGCTTAATGCTGTTTGTACAGTGACAACATTTTTATTAGCATTTGTTTACCGTTCCCCCTTCTGGGTGTTTAGCGTGTTAGCATGCGGACATTTGCTAATGACGCGCAAAGTATGTTCTTTTTTTGGGGGAAATAACCTTTCATTCTTAAATATTTGTTTAAGTTTACATTAATGCTAACAGCTTCATTCACGATGTATATATTTTTTTTTACTTAATGCTATACTCGCGTGTTTATCAGCATATGTTAGCTAGCTCACTTCTTGGTACGTAGCGTGTTAGCATGCACAGATTTCCTAATGACGAACAAAGTAGCTGAAGCTTATGGTGATTTCATTATTTTTGCTATGATGATGCCTTTAGATACCATTCACAGAGCCACACAAAAATAGAACTCAAAACGAAATGTTTTCTTCATATTTAAGCATACACATGTGACTATGTATGTCTATCATTTCTATTAACAACTGTTTATTTCGCTGTGGCGGATGGTGTGTACAGTTTCTTGTAATCACTTATTCACATGTGCATTAATTCAGTTGCCATTTAATGTTTTTGTCCTATCTTCTCCTGACAGCCACACCATTGGCTTTGAGGCCTACCCTTCAGCTTTTTAGAGTCCATACTGAACACACATGTTCTCTTTCACTCTCTGTGGCATTGTAATCGCTTTATCCTAGTTTCTGCCTTCAGCTGGCTGCCCTGACCTTCATGTCCCCTTTTGCCTGCATGTGGTACATCTTTAAAATGGAGAAAAAACATCCAAAAAGGCGCTTGATATAACCATGTAGTCACTCACACTCATGCTGTCAAGTCATGTCCAACAATACATGCTTACAGTTGATTACCACACATGTTCATTTTTCCTTCAGAGCATGTGTAATCTATGTAGCCTGAATGGAAATGAGCTAGAATTAATGGTAATAAATAACCTAACATGTACACTGTTGGTGCGTGTTAGTGCACTGGAATTGGTTTTCATTAAAGTGGCATGCGATGGATTTTTTTTTCACACCAATTTGCACATTTTAATTGCAAATGTTTATATCGTTCTCATGATCATGTGCAGATTCCAGAGGAAATGGATGCATTATATTAATTTAATCAAAACCTGTCATATCATCTTTGACACCACATTATTAGCCAATGTGTATTTGTCTATTTACATATCTACTTCTATCAGGCTGGCTGTGTCTTTATTCAGCAATGCAGTTTGGTTTTTACATATGCCACAATGAAGTTTAAATTTGTACTAATCCATCGTTTAATTCTCTAGGATTGTATAGTTACTATATTGCCTCATATATGTTCCTGTTGTATGTGGAATAAATAATAAGTACCCTCTGCAACAGACAAAAAATCAACAAAAACTCCAAAACAATAACAGGAAATCCAAAAAAGGAGCCACCATAGTACCTTTCTGTGCCCACAGCATGCTGTTTGATTGACAGGTATTTGGTAGTGCAGCACAGGCACAAAACAGCAGGTGAGAGCTAAGCACCAAAGATAAATAAATGTGGGTGGGTGTGGGTGTTTTAAATGAACTGCCACCCCATTTTTATTGGTTTGACCATGGGGGGTTTTGGAGGATGAAATGACTATGGCAATAAATCTGTATGTATGCAACCATAAATGTGCGCGTGGTGGCGGGCAAAGGCAGACAAAGGATCTGATGTGTCCTACTGCCCTGAATGCTGCAGACCTTCACACACACACACACACACACACACACACACACACACACACACACACACACACACACACACACACACGTAGAATGTAATGAGGCTCATCATTGGAAGTATAAGGCAGTAAATGGAAATGCGTTGGGATCCATTTTACTGTATTCTACGAAAAATGTAATGGCAACAACAAAAAAAAGTCCAGATCTTTTCACATCTGAAAAAACCTAACCCCCCAGGGCATACGATACTGTCTGTGTGCTGTTGAGCATGAATTATGTCATCAGCTGTATGACTATCTGCTCATTCAAAATTAGGTCATCTTCACAAATGCCTCCACATCTTAGTAATTAGGGTTTGTGTGGTAACATACATGCCAAGCACATACGAAAATACACAAGACTTATTTTATTTGTCTGTGTGTGTGTGTGAGTGTGTGTGTGAAGCAGAGGTGAGACACAGAGCGATTCAGGGCAGAGGGAGAATTTTTCAGGCCTAATGTTCCATGACAAAGGACCAAGGTTCCGTCAAGGGGAATCAGAGCCATTGCCGCCAAACGCCTGAAACACACACACACAGACACACACAAATCTCCCCTTATATTCCTCCTTTGTCTCATCCCCTCTACTCTTTTTCTCACCGTCCTTGCTCGTAAACTTGTCTTCCTTCTTCCTTCCCTCTCTCCCGCCATTTTCCTTTTTACCTTCCCCTTCTTTCTCCCCTTGTATCCCTTTGTCTTCTTACCTGTAGTTTAATTATGTAGTTGTTAATCCCTGTTGCAGCCTGAATGGGCTTTACAGCAGGCACATTTATAAAACAACAGCTCCTAACCTTTAAGCCCTTGGAGGACATCGCCTCTCTTTTGTCCTATACTCCTCTCCCTCCCTGTCTTCTCCTTATGAAACATTCATTTATCTCTGACTATAGACAATCTATGGGCATCTTTGCAGCCCTTCTTGTAAAAAGTCAAAACGCATCATAATTCATTCATCCTCTGTGTCGATTTGTAACTGCATGGGTGCAACGGCAAAAATCAGCAGGAACAACAATGCGACGATAAGTCAGTCATTGATTGGCTTTGGGGCGTAACCATGGAGACGGAGGTTGATTATGTATGCTTGTTAACAATGTGAGTGTGTCACCCCGCTGTTTACCTACTCCACTTAGATCTGTCTGATCTGAGTGTATGTTTGTGTGGGAGGAAGAGAGATTATGTCTGTGTCTGTTTGTATATGTGTCACATATGGGGGCTCGGTGGGGACAATATTGTGCAGCAGATGCACAAAATTCTCAATAAGGTTACAGTACATTAGATTTAACTTATCCAAAGGGACTTAAAAAAAGGGGGCATTCAAACACAAAGAATCAAACAAAACAAAAAACAAGATTCCTGTGAGTGCATTAGCTTTTTAATAAGCAAAAGCACTGACGGGATGCTCCACAAAAGGAAAAGAAAAGTCAAAAAATGTTTCTTTTTGTTAAGATAATACAACTTGAAGACGAGAGCAGGGTTTCACAGGTTGGATAAAAGCAATAATCCCTAGAGGGGAGATACAAAGACATCAAAAGGAACAAAGAAGGAAATACAAATGCGACACAAACTAGGTGACAAATGATTCTTTTAAATTCAACACCGGTATCTCTGATGAGGAACCTCAAAACAACCAGAACCATCCAGGCAAATTGTTTTTGGTTTTGATGCTGACCTCCTTTTTTTTCAAAGGAACTAACCATGCTGTCTTGCTTTTTCTCTTCCTCCACTTTTCTTTTTTTTGTACCTCTCTCCCCATGACCCTCTTCCCTTTCGTATTTGTACGTCTCCTCTTATCATCTCATCTCTTCTTTATCCAACCCCAAACACTCCATGCCACCCGCCCCCCTCCCCTCCTCCTCTATCAGTCTGCAAAGTGGGGTTTTACCGCTCGCTGCTGGAGTCTCCGGCCTGCAGTAAATGTCCCCCGCACAGTGTGGCCAGGCAGACGGGAGCCACCGCCTGCAGTTGTGAGGATGGATGGTATAAGATCGACGCCGACCCTCCCAATATGGCCTGCACACGTGAGGATAAAGCCCCTTTTATATTTGCACATGCTTAAGTCTTATTTACCTTTATTTTTGGACATAGAGTTGCAGAAATAACATCATGTTTTTAAAGTTTCTTGACTCTTTTACAAGACGTTGACAATCAGAAAAGTAGGTGGTCTGATCCCCAGACCCGGCAGCCAACATGTGGAAGATACATGACCCTAAATTTGTCCAAGTGGAATCCAAAGCCATGGCAATGTTCAGGTTTAGATATCTCTCCCAAAGACCAATTTCCACGTATTCTTTTCAGGGGTTTGGATTGAACCACTGACCCTCTGATTGGTAGATCAGTCATGAAGCCCCTGAGCCATAGCTGCCCCTTGTACATGTATATGTTGAAGCACTTTTAAGAAAGACTAGATAAGTGCTATATAAATGCAGTCCATTTACCATTAACATGATTGGTCCTTCTTCTCTCAGGCCCTCCATCTGCTCCACGCAACGCTATCTCCAACGTCAACGAGACCAGCGTCTTCCTGGAGTGGTCCGTCCCCATGGAAACGGGTAACAGGAAGGACGTGCGCTACAACATCCTGTGCAGACAGGTCCTGCCAGAGGGAAGGGGCTTGGAAGAATGCGGCCCAAACGTGCGTTTCCTGCCCCGACGCGTCGGCCTGTCAAATACGTCGGTCATGGTGGCCGACCTGCAGTCACACACCAACTACAGCTTCCTGCTGGAGGCCATCAACGGGGTGTCAGAGCTGGCAAAAGAGCACGCCAAGCAGTATGTGTCACTCAATGTGACAACCAATCAGGCAGGTATGTTGCAAGCGATTTGTCACATATGTCAATACTTGCTTTTGCTTTCCCCCAATCACAGCCTCCCCATGAGTTCTCCAATCTGCACCACAGCTGTCCTGTTGTAGCAAGTGAATTTCACAACAAATATCTCCAACTGACTCTTTTTTTCCTTATTGAGACTTCCACAGACCAACCTGATGTGTCAGATTCCTGGCGTGAATATCTGGGTCTGAGAACAAAGACGCCAGATGATCATATTATAACAGCATTTGTGCAAAACGTCGCTTCTATTATTGTTTTTTTCTTGTGCGCCATCCATGCTGTGAATGAGGGAACATTGCACAGTGGAAAGCTTCTTTGTTTTTGCTTTTGCATCCAGATTTGTCATTGAAAAAGCAGCTTGCCCCCCTCGACTAGTCGGTGCATTTCATCAACAAGATTTGCAGGAATCTAGGCAGTAGTGAAAGCGCTTGATTTGCAGGCTGCTGGTGTGTGGGGTGTGTTGTTTGGTAGCAGGTGTCATTCTGCATGCCTATCAAAGTTTAATCAAGCTGATGACATTTTATTTTTAGAATGGGAGGTGTAATCAACTCTGAGCAAAAAAGAAAACTTGAGCTGGTATAATGTGTTGAAGCTGCTGGCAATATTCTGTTATCTGCAAGCCAGAGTGATTTAGAAAATCTGTGTGGCTATAAAGTATAATTGAGCAAGGCACTAAACTCACTACACTAAAGTGAGCAGCACAGTGGCCAAACATAAAGACCACTCTAATATTAGACAATGAAAGACTCCAGCTACTCCCCATAGCTGTAAATATTGGAATGTTTGCTGGCTGGCTGTTTTTAAAATGGAGATAAAGATTCACACAGGCTTTGGGAGACCATTTTCATGTTTACGGGAGTTGTTTTATCTGCTCGTAATGAAATGGTAACACGGTGGAATGAAATGAGAAAAATACAAGATTAATGCTTTCCTTCCCAAGGCTTCCATCTGTAGAATTGTTTTCCTGAAGGACTGTGTCTGTTCCTGTTTTTTTAACAAATGGTTAATTGGCAGTCAAGTCATACAGTAGTAAGGAGTAGTGGGATGGGCAGGCAGATGGTGGTCTGACAGTGGAGGGTACTGCCGGCCCTTTAACTGTGTTGTCATTGTGGCTGTCAGCAGACTGAGTGGATTACACCCAACAGCACCCACATTCAGTTTAGTAGAGATGCAGCTAGATTAAAGTGATCCAGTCACTGGGCCAATGGAGATTAGGGATTACAGATTACACATGGCTGGCAGAGTCACAGACAGGAAAACCGGGCTTCCCTTTGGCATGCATGTGATACATGCATGCATTTATTCTAGTGATATTAGACAGATAGACAAGCTTACATTTGAAAATATAGTCAAAAATATCCCATACATCCAGGAACTGTTGAAAAAAAAACATCCACATGAATTCCCAAAAACATAACTGAAGTGCTGTCAAGGCCAAAAGAAACATTTGTTCCTAAATATAGTGGAAGAGTACCTGGTCATTTATGTGTAAACAAGTTAAAAAAAGCCCTGTTTGTAAGGTTAAAAGTTATGAAGCCTCACAAAGGAGGTCAGGTTAGATCAGATTTACTTTATTGATCCCAAATTGAGAATTGTTTTTGTTATAGCAGCATGTCAACAGGGCATTGCACATATGTTTATAATAAAATAAAATATAACGGCAAACCCTCTGACGTTAAATTGGGAAAACAACGTTTTTGCCATGATTTTATTCCATTTAGTGACCTATAAAGCCATTACAGAATAGTATAGTAGCATGTTTAGCCAACGACTTAACATCATATTATTTTAACTCTCTTTCACTGTCCTTGTAATTATGCCTGTCAATATGGGCTATCATTTCAAAAATGTTCTTAAGAGACTATAATAGCAATTGATTCAATTGTCTTTTGGGGTAATCATTTTATTTTAGGAAGGGTAATAAAGCAAACGGATGAAAGAGAAATACTTGATTGGATAATAAACCGAAGCATTGGAAGCCTGACAGGTTTTAAACAGCTAAGCCAGCAGTGATGTTAGGCTGTTCCAAATGTCTAAAATACAGATTGCAGAACATGTGTGCAAACATATGTGCTGACATGCGAATGTTTAGAAGGTTCAGTCGAGTCATTTACACTTAACTCTAAATACTATAAAATATGTGCTGTTAAAAAAGAAAAGAAGGTATTATAACTGTAAGACTCTCTCATTTCTCACCTGTGGTGTTACCCATCAGTTCAGTTTCCAGAAGATACAGATGGTGTCCAGACTGTTTGAGTAGAAACGTTATATGAATATTCAATTAATGTTTTAATTATTACAATTTCTCAAGTTATTTTTTCTGATCCATTGGGTCACAATATAATATAAGGGTCACAATATAATGTAAATGTAGGGTGACCAGTTGTCCCACTTTTTGACAGTCACCCGTCTAAAACCTGGCTTTTATCCAATGGCTGTTTAGCTTTTCACCATAAGCTGTTTCAGATGTTAATCAATCAACGGCTCGAAATGTATTTACTAATGAGTGTAGCCGGTGGAGGGCGATTCTAAGAAATGTCTTTGTGACATTTACCATAGTTTATTTTTCAATCATGCATGGAGGTGAATACGATTTTAAAGCAACACTGCATGCGCAACTCACAAGAAATGCCTGGCTCAAGACAAATGTCAATCTATGGATACATTCTTACTGAAAATGTTGCTAGAAGTTCTGCTGCACTTTTAACCACCCAGCCGTGATTTCGAGGTGTTCACACCCTGAGTGCATTTATAAAAATCACTGTAGCGAGGTTAGGACTTCAACCACCGGGGGTCTTTCTATCAAATGATTTCCCAAAGTAATCCTAACAATCCTGTTAACAATAATCCTGAAGCATTACTCGTAATGAACAGTTTAACACCCTGCCTCGTCTCTGTGTCACACATGTAATTACCCAATGAGGGCTTTGATGAGCGCTGTAAACATCTGCGTTGTGTGACTGTGCTTCTGCTTGTGAGGGTAAAAGAGTTGAAAGAAGATGGAGGGACGGAGGCGGCGGGGGGGGGACTCAAACAGACAGAGACTGGAGAGAAAGAGCGAGAGGATCTGCCGTTTGATGTGTGGGAAGTGTCACATTCCATAAGGGATCCGTGAAGTAGGTGATTTCACAGTGTCCCTGCGAAGCCCTGCTGAATAATAAAGTGTTGGTACTCGTGGAGAGGTGAAAGGCAGGAGGGAAGGACAGAACAACAGGATGGAGGTAGAGTTAGAAACTGTAGAAGTAGTTGGGGAAGTTGTGATAAAAGGTGAGGGAAGAAGCAGTAAAGTAACAGGGTATAAATATAAGGTTCACAGTTGCTTTGTGTTAGTTCAAAAAACACTTAGAGGTGTGGTGTAGCTTGGCAATTTAATAATGGAAGTCATATATTTTGCTCCACTTTGATGTTTTTGTACACAGAAAATACATTTTTGATAAGGTAGCTAGCTAGCAGCCACTATTAGGCTCATGAATTTATTTAAAGTTGCCCTATTGTGCTCATTTTCAGGTTTCATAATTGTATATTTGCCTCTACTGTGACATGTTTCCATACTTTAATGTTCAAAAAGCTCTATTTCCTCTTTTCACTCTCTGTCCGTTAGCGTTTCATGTATAATGTGTTGGAGCGCTAGCCAACTGAAGTGCGAGTGTTACATCGTGATGTCACTATGTCGGGGAAGTAAACAAAGGACTACGATTGAGGAGGGGGGGGGGGGGAGTGTGTGGGAGAGAAACTCCCACTTCAGGGAACTTTGGGATTTTAGCCTTTGCAGACCATTTACATGCACTAAAAGCTATATAACACACTACAGGAAAGGGAAAAAGCTAAATAGGGCCCCTTTAAGAATTCTCCCATTAGTCTCTTTATTTTAGATATGTCGTCGTGCCTTGTGAATAGATCTTTAAAATGAATACACTTTATATTGAGAACATACATGAGAAAATGTCAATTCTCAGTGGAAATCAGAAGAACAAATAATGTACTCTAATTGGCCATTAATCGCCAATAATCACAGACAATTCAGTCTTTGCTAGTGAATGATTATTATTTATGTGACAAATGACTTCCTGCGGTAGCTGAGCTACTTAGTTTGTTTCTCTTGGTGTTCACAGTGTGGGAGCGCTGTGTGGTTACTGCACACTAAATGCTCCCATACGTTATGTTTGCTGTTGTTGGCTATTAATCAAATGAATCGTGATACATTACCCTGTGGGAGGTATACAATAAAAGCCGTGCACAGCCTGGTGCCTTACTTTTGTTTTTAGATATAAAAGTGGTGGGTTTTTTTTCTCTTTTAACTGAGATGAATTGAGCATGGAACTTCTATTGAGTTATTTTAACCATCATTTTGGAAATATATCATCTTTAGAGACATGTGTTTTTTGGAGTCTACAATTTGAGGTCATTTGTTGTTTTTAAGAAGTTAAACTTTGATACTTTCTCAACTTTAGTAAGTTTGTTTTGTGGCGTCTGATTTCTTCATATTGTCAGTGTGGTTCAGCCATTTTTTACTTTGGGTGTGACAGCTCAAATGTGTTTTGGTTGAGAGCAAGACGTTAAAGAAGATAGATGAGACATTTTGTAGCTCAGTGCAGAGAAGATATGTGAAAGGATTGTGTCTTGGAAAGAAGCTGACTGTTGGCCACATGGTCGTTGTGTTCTTCAATTTGACTTTTAACATTCAACGTGTTTTGATAACTTTCCACTTGCTGATATATTCTTCTGTTAAAAATCCACCTGCTTAAGTTTTAGTATGCTTTTTAAATGCATTATTGTAAATTAAATAGTATAAGGGCAGTGAAGAGATGACGGGAAATGAGGGGGGAAATAAGGAGCGATCATTCAATAAAGTTCATGGTCCACCACTTAAACAGCTATCAAGTGGTGATTACAGGACGGGGGACCAAGAGGATCATGGGGAATCAGAAATACATACAGGTATGCTGTTTAATTAGACGACTAACTGATTACTCGATTGATCAATTATAATTAGCAGGGAGAAAATTGCGTTTTTGGCATCTCAGGTATGGAGATTCCCTGCTTGTGTGTGTTTTATACCATATTACTCTGAAAAACTTTAGATTTTGGACTGACAAAACACACATTCAAAGACATCACATTCGACATTTTAATGACCAAATGATACATCTCGGAAATGATCTGAAGATCATCAATGAAAATGATCCGGATTTGCAGCCCTACCCCTGATACGCTGGCCGATTGTTGGTGGGGGGGCTCGAGGGGGGTGCAGTTTATATTTCCCTTCAGACATGCCCCTGACCCATAGGCCAGAAAAGTTTGTCAATGTCCTTTATCTTTCTGTTACAACTTATGAATTCCTGATTGTGAACATTTCTAATGATAGAATGCAATATGTTCACATGTCAAATCACAGTTTCAATGAATGAAAGTCCCATAAAGTGAGCAGGTAGGTAGTGAGTATAACGGAAAATAATATGAGAGCCGCGTTGGTACTTTACAACCCTGATAAAGCTATCTCTTTCTATCCCTGTGTCTCCTATCTCTCTTCCATTCTGTAGCTGTGTCTCTCTTTCTGTCATTCTCCGGGGGTAGTTAAAGGATAATAAAGCCGATAGCTGAAGGTCTGTATTGATTCTGGGGATGCTTCAGACAGATTGTGGTCTGAGAGGCTTATGTTCTGCACGGTGATAACGGTTGCTCTTATCTGAGGCCAGGGTTGTTACACTGCAGGGCTGCACTCCCTTTTTCTTTGTAACCTCTCTCAGCATGGGATGGACGTTTTTAGACAGAAAATGGCACCACAAGCATTAGGAGTGAATGTGTGTTCTGTATTACCGTACTGCAGGGGCTCATTAGCAGATGTAACACGCACGGGAAGTGTTTAAAACAGCGAGTTTGATTCCACTATCTTCCCTGAGGCTAAAATAAAAGTGTTGCTGGGGCGCTGTCTAAACACTTTCGTCATGTCTTCCATTCTTTGTCTCATCTCTCACATTTTTTCCTTTTTTGTCAACCTTCTCGCTTGTCTTCCATTGTCCTCCCCCTCCTTTAGCACCCTTCTGTCTCCTCCATCGCCTCCCGTTCTCTCGCTGTCACTGCGTTTCTCAGATTCGTCAGGTTTTAAAACACTTGTTTGTTTAGTCTCAGTCGCCAAGTCGTGGCAGTAAAAGTTATCACATTGTGAAGCTCCTGTTGACTAAAGCGTTGCGTTGGGTGTTATATGTGGACGTCGTACGGTAAATGCAAGATTATAGCTGAGAAGAAACAGGCAGAAATGATCTGAAGACCCTTGCTTTTGTTTGTTAATGTGCTTCAAATATAGACTTTAGTACAAGTGTCTTCGATGCACAGAAAACAGCACAGTAAAAGTGCATTTAATCAAAAATGATGGTAGCTTCAAACTTGCACCTTATGCAACCTAAAAACTTTATTTTTTCAACTTTTTGAAAATAATGTTTTTGAATACAAGACAAAAAAATATGCCTTATTTTATGGTAGGCCTATGTCTTAAATCCATAATCTTTTTTTTAAACATGAATTGAAGAAATATATAAATAAATATGATAATAATTAAAAACCAACAAATATTAAACTAATACACTTAAAATAAATTTAAATTCATAAAATGACTATTCTTGTGATTTTCTCACAATAAGAAATGGGAATAGGCATGGATTTCTGGAATGTAATTAGAATGAAAAAATACTAAAAGACAAATTAAACAGTAATCATTCAAGTCATTTTTAGCTTCTCAAATGTCAGGATTTGTGATTTTAACATATTTTGAAGACATTAAATCAGGTTCTTGGAAATTGTTTGTATTTTTCATTCTTTTCTGACATTTACTAGCAGTTAAATCCATTATCTAAACCAAAATATTACTTGCAGCTTGACTTGTTAAAATATAAACACATTTTAGATGTACAATACCACATAAGGTTTATTTATACGACTCTAAATCCTAAGTTTATAGACCAGATTCCTTACATATGAACCCTCAAGGCTTTGATTAAATATAGCATGGCAAACTGCATCCATTTTTGGAGGATTTCAATTTAGATGTTGGTGTATTGTTACCCGTTAAGCTGCTGGGAAAGGAAAAGAAGCCCTCTTTCATCATCGCACCCTAGCATTTATACCATTTAAACATTGAGTGTGTGTGTGTGTGTGTGTTTGATTCGGTCTCTGGTTTCAGGCTTTTAAGATGTTGCAGATAACACTTCTGTGCGACCATCCACTCAGGATACAGTTACTCTGTTTGTAGCGATGATTTATTCTCTGTGGAGTTCTGCTGAGGCTATTGAAACCCAAACGCTGTTTTGCATTTGCAGTAGAGGCATACACACACACGCACACACATTATCAGGATATTGCCTGAGGGAGCGTTTTACCCAGTGAAAAGCTCTTTATGTGTCAGAGACTCTCCAACTGTCCCTCTGAGAGATTGGCCCTCAGTTCAGGTTACAAAAAGATGGCTCTGTGATTGATGCAAACAACAGCGTTCACTTGACTTCAGACTTTTCGTAATAACATCTTACAATGAAAATGGAAACTTTGCAAAGACCCAAAAGCAAACAAGTACTCTAACATGTCTTAAAATCTGGATACTGCCAATATTTGTCCTGTAAAAAGCCGTGTGGCAGATGTGTGGAGTCGTAGCTGACTTCATGGGCTCCTCTGCCAGCCTCTACTGAATAGCCTGATATAAAGGGATAGTTTAATTAGGCACAGGTGCACCTTGTTGCTGGATTGCAGACATTTCTTTGGAGGCGAAGCTGCTTTGGATCCAGAAATAATCTCTGTTGTTGAGTCGCAGCTCAATGGACTGCGCCAAATAACCTCGGCGGAACTTCGGTAACTAACAAACATGAATTCCAAAGAAGAAACTCTGGGGGAAATATGTTGTTTTCTTCACCTTGTTTGACAGAAACATAAAAGACACGTGTACATCACATCATGTGACATAGTGAGCCCCCTCCTTCCCCACAGTCATTTTCCATCTTTTTTTTGCGATTTTCTTCTTTGATCACCAGTTAAATATTTCATAATGTACAACAACCACAGAAAGAGTTACAATTAGCTCTGCGCTTGTAAACATGAAAGCATGAGAAGTCCCTAAAATATGTTTTTCTTCTAGATGCTGATGGTACCCTACATATTTCATAAGCTTTGCTATTGTTTTAATCGCTATTCATTGCAATTGTATGTTAGATATGTTATACATGGGAATAAAATAATGCACTACAAATACATTTTGGTGCCTGAAGTTGTATTATGTCTATGTCTCGTGTGTGTGCAGCGCCGTCCCCGGTGAGCGTGGTGAGGAAAGGTGTGACGGGGAAGAGCAGCATCGCCATTTCTTGGGCGGAGCCTGACCGCCCCAACGGCATCATTCTGGAGTATGAGATCAAGTATTTTGAAAAGGTAAACAACAGTTTGAAAGAAATGTTCGCATAAGAAGTTGCTCTGGTCTAAGGCTCACGTTCTCATATTCTCAAGTCTCTATGCTAAGCTTAGTTTATTTAATATACAGTAAACCAAGCAGGAAATATGCCAATCCAGCTTTATAATTGTCCTTTTGGGAAACTTTTAACTACCACGTCAAATACATCCATACAATAAATGCTGCATATAAATATATAAATGTGATTAAGATTTAAAGTACTTTTTCATTTGGTGTTTATGGTCAATGCTATGTTCGACTGAATGCACATTTTTGCGCAGTACCACACAACTGTATAGTCAGTTGTGTATGAAGATATCTGGTTTAAAGTTAGTTAAATAAAGGCAATAAGACTCCACTGTTGAATGGATTTATGCTTATATCACCCCTGTGCTCCACAATTCAAAAACATTATATATTTGCAGAAAGGTATTGATTAAGATTAGTTAAATTGGCCCTCAGAGATACATCTGAATAAACATTGAATTCATTTTTATTTTACCGTTCCGCCAACCTTGACCTTATACAGACTCTTTCATGTGGCAGAGAAAAGAAACACTCGGATTAAGCTTTTATAAAACTAAGAGTTAGGCAGAGACGGCAATTTGATGCTTCTATTCAGGTCATTGTTCCTGTGCCCTTCCTCTTTTCTCGCTTTAGTCCTCCAATGTCTTCTTTCCTGGGAAGGTCAGAATAAATGTATACAGGGTAGAGCAGGGTTTGTGGTCAGTGGTTAGCTAATGGCTTCTGGCTAATGGAGGGGCATTTAGCTGTGTTTAAACCTGATGCGGTTACAGTCGTGAAATTGATCCTGACACACATGCAACCACATACACACACACACACACACACACACACACACACACACACACACACACACACACACACACACACACACACACACACACACACACACACACACACACACACTACAGGTTGCTTAGCCATAAAAATGTGTGGGAGAAAAAGGGGAAATTGTGCCTATCATAAGAAAAATGTGCAAAATCTGAAACAAAAAACAATTCTAAAATCTACAAATATGTTACAAAAGTGAATGTATTATAATAACTTCTCCGCTTTCTTCTACAGGAGCAGGACTCCAGTTATACCATTATAAAATCCAAGGAGACTGAGATGGTGGTGGAAGGCCTGAAGCCCTCTTCAGCCTACATCTTCCAGGTCAAACATGGGTTAAAAAATGTTTTTTTTAAAGGAATTGATTAATAACAGTGCGCAGAAAAAAGCCCTTTAGTGTAGTCTGAGAGGAGAAGATATGAATAAGCGATTAGAAAGACATTTTTAAATCAATGTCATGTATAACCAGTGGTGGAATATAAATAAGCATACTTCCAAGTATTGTTTTTAAGCACAATTACATGTTTGACTTTATACTCTTGCTTATATTCACTATTGACAACAACAGAAACATATATGTGGTATTTCCCCTTTCCTTTAGTGTATTATATATGTTTCTCTGCGTGTCAAAGGTACCTTTTTAAACATTAAAGCATTCAAACATGTCATAGTAAAATAAAAAAATGCAAATATTAACCGGAACATTTGCATAATATGTCCCCTTTAAGTATATTTTGCTCATCATATTTCTATACCTTCAATATTTTAGAGTTCTTTTAAACCATGGTATTTCTACTTTTATATTAGATTTTTAGTTATTTGTTCATCCCTGTGGGTAAAACATTTGAATATACAGTATATAAAACTATGGTGTGATATATTTGTTGCATTACAGGTGAGAGCCAGGACCTCGGCAGGCTATGGCGCATTTAGCCGACGTTTTGAATTCCAGACCAGCCCTTACTGTGAGTACACCTCAGAGAGAGAGCCTGAGCGTATCATTTCAACTTGTACACGACTCCCATAGACTTTCTGGAGGCTGCACCAACAACAGATCCCAGGTGTGCTTTTGTGTGTTTGTACTAATTGTGTCTTATCCCACCTCTTTTCTTTGGCAGTAACTGCAACCAGTGAGCGTGCTCAAGCCTCGATCGTGGCGGTGGCCATCACGTTGGCTCTGGTCCTGCTGGCGGTGGTCGCTGGATTCCTGCTAAGTGGACGGTAGGACATAAATACACACCAGAACGAATATAGACACAACCTGGGAAGCATGATATCCAATCTCTGTGCCGGTGTAAGACAACATTTTACCTAGATGAGACATTTCATGGGTTTTTATCATGAAATCCTAGAGAAATTGCCATCGAAGATACTTTGTTTTTAGTACAAGCCTCAAATGTTGACATAATATATAATTATAGTAGGGTGATGCGTAGAGTTTCTTGAAAGACCTACAATCTTTGAGCAGATAAGGGGGTCTTTACATAGTGAAACCCTAATTTCTTTGTTCTTCAAGACGCGCAGCAAAGGACTCATGTGGTATGTGTATATATAGTAATTTGTCCTTCGTCAGAGGCCATCCCTTTGTCCTAATATGACCACTAACAAAATGACCAGATATATCAAATCTCCTTTGTGACCCAGATATTTCTGTGTTGAAAAGCAGCATTATGGGATTAAACGCATTGGCTTGAGGCCTGTGTGTAATAGGTTAGGATTAAGGTTGGCTTTTTTAGGTTGTGGCTTCAGGGTTAATGCTTGATTTGTGAATCAGGAGGTCCTGAATCACAGAGGAACAAAGCACGCAATGCATGAATCCACAGTGCCTTAAATTTAACAATGCCTTAGTGCTGGCTGTTGAAACTTAACATAACTGTCATCACAAAAAAGCAAAAAGCATTATTTATTATGTATTTATTAATCAGAGCATTCACAATAATCATGTGAAATCAGCAGGGGGATGCGTGTAGAAACAGCTGTTTACTCCGGTTTGCATCCGTCTCACTTCTGTGTGTAGATTGCTACAAGGGGGGGAAATGGAAATAGCCAGGCTTTCTAAAAAACTGTGGGATATTCTGTCTTTCTTTCTGTCTAACAAGCTCTAATTAAGCTATACTCATTTTACAGCAATAACACCTTCTAATAATATAATTAAAAGAGGTGCCAGATTCACGCAAATAAGTGTAGCTTTCACATTGCTCCATACATTACACTCTGCGTTCGTGTTGTATTTGCATGCCTCCAGACTAATACAACATTCAATTAACCTCGTTTTGTAATTGTTACAAGCATATTTTAATATGATTTCCAAACATCAACAGACAGTATTCAGAAATGCACGGTGGCCGTCGGGTGCAATCACAAGATTCCTTCCTTCCTTCCTTCCTTCCAGATCTAACTCAGCTAATCTGCCAACAGTTACAGTTAGCCAACTTTACAATGTTTTATTTATTTTTGATTTATGTGTTGATAATTCTTAATTCTCATGTGTTTTGGCACATTTGTTGTCGTTTTTGAAACTGCAGCACATTTCTCCTAATGGAAGTGTTTTGGGCCTTTGAAACACGTTTGCACCTGTCGGCCACCGTAGGAATGCAAAATATGTATATTGTGAAAAGAAACACATGCAAAGAACGCAATCACTCTGTAGTTTTGAGAAGACAGTCAAACTATTTTCGTCAGATGAAATCATTTGTCTCTAAATAAAGTCCCTAAATTCATTGTACTATTGAACTTTTTAGCCTGAATATTCTGCTTAACAGCATTATCTGTGATATGCAAGTTAATTACCAGATATATGCCTGAATGCCTTTAGTGAACCATAACTAACAAAGCTAAAGGCACTTTAAAAAAACTCAGGGTGATTGGTGAACATCCTGCCATCTCCCCATTCGTTAATTTGTAATATTGATCCTCAAGCCATCTATCCATGGGGCTGATCATTCACTTTTTTCACCCATGCTTACACTTCTTTCAATTTGAACTCTTCCCCTTTAACTCTTAGGTCATGATTTTAGTAATTGATTTCATACTGTATTCGATGATTTATTCATACGCTAGTGAATATATTTGACAGAATGACCAGATGGATGGACAGTGGAGGATCTGGTGAGGATTAAAAAGGAAATCGGAAATACCCAGTGGTGGTTTTGGTTTAGCCGAAACGGGGGATGAGGATCGCTCTAGTTTTCGTGTGGGGGAGGAGACATGGAGGAATGCCAGATTTTCCAGCAATTGATTTGGGACACAAGCACCACAACCCCCCTCCAACCACTGTATCCCCCCTTGCCTGACCCTCCAGACTCCACCCGCATGCATAGACATCCAGCACACATGTGTAGACACACACACACATACGCGCAGATGCATCGTACGCATGGGTTAACGCACACATAGGAAGTAGCAGGGGTTTGGCTGGGCATGAGTGTTATCAAACCCCTTGACTCAACAGATCCAGCTAACTAAACCCCCCCCAGGCATACACACATCCAGACTCCCCTCCCCCAGACTATACAGCTGCCCACACCGAACCCCTCTAGCCAAGCTGGGCTATCCTACAGAGAGCCTGGATGGTGTGTGTGTGTGTGTGTGTGTGTGTGTGTGTGTGTGTGTGTGTGTGTGTGTGTGTGTGTGTGTGTGTGTGTGTGTGTGGTGTGTTGTGTGTGTGTGTAGGTGTGTGTGTGTGTGTGTGTTGTGTAGTGTGTTGTGTGTCGTGTGTGTGTGTGTGTGTGTGTGTGTGTGTGTGTGTGTTGTGTGTGTGTGTGTGTGTGTGTGTGTGTGTGTGTGTGTGTGTGTGTGTGTGTTGTGTTGTGTGGTGTGTGGTGGTGTGTGTGGTGTGTGTTGTGTGGTGTGTGATGTCGTGGTGTGGTGGTGTTGTACGGTTGTGTGTGTGTGTGTGTGTCGTGTGTGTGTGTGTGTGTGTGTGTGTGTGTGTGTGTGTGTGTGTGTGTGTCGTGTGTGTTGTGTGTGTGTGTGTGTGTGTGTGTGTGTGTGTGTGTGTGTGTGTGTGTGTGTGTGTGTGTGTGTGTGTGTGCTCTTGTTTAATCTGGGTCATGTGGTTTATCTCGGATGCTGCTTGTCTAAATATTGAAATACAGAAGATTTTGGCCCACAGACACACATCTGTACAACAAAGTAAACGAATATAGGTATTGGTAACCATGCTTTAGGGGTTATAAAGACATGGGCATGATATCATTGATGCAGACAACGTTTATTTAATTTCTCTTAATGTTGCTCTTTCCTTTGGTGCTTCCTCCTCTGCAAAGTGGTCAGAGTTGATCTGTTGACAAGGCTTTTGTTAGAAAATGCTTTTTTTTTAAAACTGCACTCCTTTGCTAATATCTAAAAGGCTGGTGGTTTTCAGTATTTTCAGCAACCTACGAGGAAATAAAATGCTTAGTTTGCACTTGGATCCAAATATGATTTTGCCATGTGCTTGCTAGGTTTAGCTTTTTATTGTCTGGGTCATTTTGTGGTATCTTTACTGGGATCTCTGCCTGTTGTTGTTTCTTCCCTCTCACTGAAAATGTAACTATATGCTCCTTAGAATGTAAGGCAATATTTTGTGTTTTTTCATACTATAAATGTGGTAATTTGTGTGAGAAAAAGTACATCTCTGGCTTAACAACGTGCTTTAACAAAACTACTATACAACAATATGATGATTATAGTTAGAGAGGGTAGATAAAGATTATAATGTGTCAGGTGATTAATAAAATGCCAAAACAAAAATGTATGTTTTAGGACTTTTTTTTAAAAAGTATCCACAGATTTATATGCCATTTGCTCCTTTTGGCAGGCTATTCCAACACTACCTCCCTATATGTCTTTGTCCTCGCCCTTGGAATAATAGAAAATGTGTTGTTAGAGGACCTGAGTGATCTGGGGTTAGCATACATTTAGAGCTTGTAATCCGTTAAAGGATCGTAAAATCTATTCTCAAATTGGCAGGCCATCAATGAAGAGATTATGTAACATCCACATGTTGATATGCATTGAACTAGGTTATCAATAGGGCTAATGGGATTGGGTGATGAGGAGAGGTAAAGTTGTGTATCATAGTCATAGCTAGGAAAATGATACTATGTTTGCCCTTGATATTTCCCAGTGGCAGCATATAAAGACTAAACCACACACGTCCCAGGATAGAGCCTTGAGGAACTCTACATATTACGCTAGTGTCAGTCAAGGAGTTGTAACTAAGGGCGACAGAATAATCTGTAGTTTTGACATACAAATGTTTTTGACATTGATTGATGTACTTGTGTGTTCTGCCTCTCAGGCGGTGTGGCTACAGCAAAGCAAAGCAGGATCCCGAAGAGGAGAAAATGCACTTCCATAATGGTCACAGTAAGTGGTTGTGTGTGTGTGTGTGTGTGTGTGTGTGTGTGTGTGTGTGTGTGTGTGTGTGTGTGTGTGTGTGTGTGTGTGTGTGTGTGTGTGTGTGTGTGTGTGTGTGTGTGTGTGTGTGTTGTGTGTGTGTGTGTGTGTGGTGTGTGTGTGTGTGTGTGTGTGTGTGTGTGTGTGTGTGTGTGTGTGTGTGTGTGTGTGTGTGTGTGTGTGTGTGTGTGTGTGTGTGTGTGTGTGTGTGTGTGTGTGTGTGTGTGTGTGTGTGTGTTGTGTGTGTGTGTGTGTGTGTGTGTGTGTGTGTGTGTGTGTGTGTGTGTGTGTGTGTGTGTGGTGTGTGTGTGTGTGTGTGTGTGTGTGTGTGTGTGTGTGTGTGTGTGTGTGTGTGTGTGTGTGTGTGTGTGTGTGTGTGTGTGTGTGTGTGTGTGTGTGTGTGTGTGTGTGTGTGTGTGTGTGTGTGTGTGTGTGTGTGTGTGTGTGTGTGTGTGTGTGTGTGGCTTGTTGGCGGGTGGGCAAGTTCATCCTGAGTTTCCACAACCGGTCATGTACAGTAGAGGGTTCAGACAGCGGTCATGTCTGTATTACTTTGTTTCATCCCTGTCGGCCTACGCACGTGTCTGTGTGTGTGTCCAGTTGACAGTGTTTTGTACTCGGAGCTATTCTTTAAATGACACAGCTACAGGCCAGACCAATGGCAGCCATGTTGGCAGAGGAAACACAAAAGCTATGATGATTTATAAGGGGTGACAGCCTAATATATTTGGCTGAATTGTTGGCGTTGCAGCATGCCATCCATCTGCTGGCATCAGAAGCCACCGTGACGGGTACATCAGTGTATAGCAGTGCCAGGATGTGGTACACTGTCATATTGATTCATGTCATGAAAGAAAATATTTGAAAATGAATGTTATTTACTTATCATGGCCACAAAAAGTGACTGAAATAGTGTTTAGCGTTGGGATGATTAAAAGGTATGAATCATTGTCAAAATGTTTACATTTATATAGAATAGGCACCAATTCTTACATCATTTATCATAAAAGATGTTTAATAAAAGAGAGAGAGAAAGGGCAAATACGGGAAAGAGGAAATATTCTTTTAGCAAAATCCATTCCAGCAATAACAAATCAAGCTACTCTTGAATTCAATAGTGATGTATTCTAATGTGAATACAAGCCTGAATAAATGTTAATGATGGTAAATCACATCTAAATGGTAATGAAGCGATGCCTGTGTGTTCACAGTAAAGTTCCCTGGCGTGCGCACCTACATTGACCCGCTCACCTACGAAGATCCCAACCAGGCGGTGCATGAATTTGCTCAGGAGATCGACGTCTCATTCATCTCCATAGAGAGGATCATCGGAGCTGGTGAGTCCCTGCCTCTGTGTGTGTGTGTGTGTGTGTGTATGTGTGTGTGTGTGTGTGTGTGTGTGTTACACATTTCTGATCCTGAGCATCGTCTGGGGCTGATTTGGCCAGAATAATGTATCACAAAATATATTATTGTTCATTTTAAACTGAATCTGTGTAGTCAAGCAGGTAAAAAATACATTATAATCTTTATTTTAAACAATGCTATATTTACACACACTCAATGTACAGTTATAACTGTAATTCATTAAGCCTAATTGTGTCATGTCAAAATTCAACCGTTTTCTCATTACCTATACTGTATAAAAAGGCATCATATATTCTTCAACCTGTCACATTTATAATTGGGCGTCATTGTATAGAAGCAGGCTTGTACACACTCAATTAAGCTAAGCACTGTAAGAAAGTGACAGCTCGTAAGGCTATGAATGGTGTTTGTGCTCTGTTGAAAAACGTTTTCATTTGCAACATCTTTAAGCTTTCTTGCTGAGCAGCAGTGAAATAGATCCACTTAGTAAAACATTTAATTTGCTTTCCAGGCTCCTATCTGTAGTGATAATGACATTTTTGTTCAGTGGTGCTTGCCCAGTATTTATACAGAAGTCAAACATTTGGTTGTTTTGCGATTCTGATGCCAAACAACATAAACTACGGTGGCCGACAGGTCAGGAAAAACCTTTCCTGCCTGAAGCTCAAAACACAACGGAAATCAGGGGACACTTAAAAGTGATGCACACAGCTGGGACCGGAAAGCTAGTTGACATTTGTGATTATATTTGAATTGATTCTGAAGTTGCAGCGCCTTTCTCCTAATGGAAATGTTTTGGGCCGTGGTAGCACGTTAACCTCTGTCAGCAACCATTATAAACAATGGACAGCCATAGATGGAGATGTTAAACTAAATATATATTAGCTTAGAAATAACTGAAGATGCCCTCATAAGAAAATGAGCACATCAAAAATGTTTGTTTATGTATTTTGTTTTTGTTCTTCTGAGATTCTATAGAGAACTGATCAGCAGTAGCAACTCAAATTCGGCCCCAAAAACTTCCAGAGGTGTTCTCTTCCTCTTCAGCTTAACTTTCAAATCCAAAACAAGATTAGGTTTGCCGCCTTAAAATTCAACTTATTAGTTTTAGGTTACTATGAAAGCTTTGGTTTTAACTGAAGGACTGCACTTCTGCGACGTGTGAGACCAAAGTCACGCTCCATCTCTTTGCCTCAGGGGAGTTTGGTGAGGTGTGCAGCGGACCGCTGAGGCTTCCCGGGAAAAGAGAGATCCAGGTTGCCATCAAGACCTTGAAAGTAGGCTACACGGAACAGCAGAGGCGCGACTTCCTGTGGGAGGCGTCCATCATGGGCCAGTTCAACCATCCGAACATCATCCGTCTGGAGGGCGTGGTCACCAAGAGTGAGTCATCAGCATGTCTGTTTCTCGTTTGGAGCCCAATGTTCACCCTGTGAGATTTATAACACATGTCACACTGCAGATTACTGGGACTTCTCATGTGGCAGTTGTACTGTGTGTATGTAGAAGAATCTGAAGCTCTACTTCAGTCTATAAGCTGGTCTTTGTCACGGTTTTTCAACATCCATCAGACTCAGCTGCTCTTCATCAGTCAGGCTCACATGTTTCTCTGACAGCTTCGACTGTGCTTTATCAAGCTCAGTTGTACTTCTGAAATGAACTTTTACTGACTTGTACATACCATATGTGTTCAAGTGGTACAGTACCACATTTAATTGCATATGTACAACAATATAATATAAATAGCTGATACCTAAGTGAGAAAATAATACAATTACAAATGTTTTTATTTAATGTATTATTGTTTTTGTGATTAAATTAATTCCGAATATTTGTCTTCTTAGGCAAGCCAGTGATGATCATCACTGAATACATGGAGAACGGATCACTGGACACTTTTCTCAAGGTAGGAACAAGGATATGTGTGGGGAGAAGGATGTTATGAGTGAAATAGGATGAAAGGTGGTGGGGATTATGAGGAAAAGTCCGATAATATTTATATGAAGGAGACAGTTGATAAAGAGAAGGATGAGAGGGAGAAAAGGGAAACAGAAGGGGAAGCAGAGGAGAAAAGTTAACAGACACAATTGATTCTCAAAGATCAATACAAAAATAATTGTTACGCAGCATATTTGTGGTACATGAAAATTAAGTGGAGTGGGCTCTCCGACATAGATAAGTAGTGTTCTGTACTGAGGTAAGTGGCACAGGGAGGAGAGTCACCAAATGCCAAATTAGGAGGACAACAATCACAGGGGTGAAAGAGATGTTTAATCCTCTGGAAAGGAAACATATTTATAAGAGCTGTTTGTAGAGTTGATACACCACGGAGGGAGAATATGTCCACCAAAGCTATCATTAGTCCAATTCAATACCTCATCATTCTACACATCCAAGCAGAAATATGCGGGGAAAGAATATGTTATGGATAGACACATTTTTTTGTGTAAACAACACAGATGGACTGAAGTTGGCAGGTGCTGCGTTGACGTCTTTCAAGGGGAAAGCAATGTTACATTTCGCATTCAAGTTGGCACCTCATTCTCTAAAACATTTAAGACAGAATTAAATCTTACCCAACAATCCGAGGAGCCCAGACACTGCGTCTACATGCTTCAGATTTTAAAACACTTTTTGAAATGTGTATCAACTCCACCGACAAGACGGATCACTTTGCCAGAAAATATGAAAGACATCTGAGCACTCAGGGTCTGGAATCACGTCCTCACTGTCTAGACAATTTGGACTTCGCTGAGAGGGAGAAGGTAATGAAGGCTGGCAATCCACCTGAATTGAGTGATCCCTCTCCAGAGCACTTAAGTCCATTCACTGGTTGCAATTGCAAGATGCTCAGTTGGCGGACAAGGCTAAATCCTGCAGGAAAAAGCGTCAACCCCCGGCAGCAGATGGCTAATGGAGAGATGATAGAAATATGGTCGTACGATTGCATGAAGGTGAGGGCATATTTCAGAGCATGGAAACTTAGGAAAGGTGAGAATAATATGGGGGTGTGCTTGTAAGAGAATGTAGACTGGAACGAGGAAAGTACTTAGCCTTAACAAGATGTTCTGAGATGGGAGGAAGCTGCGAGACAAAAGAGGAAGGATGTTCTGTGGTCTCTTGGAAAACTGCTGACGTGACTGCCCTGTGTGCCATGGGGAGTAATCAGGGATGGCAAAGCGAGGCAGAAGAGTTGGGAGACCAGCAGGCGGAGCAGCATGGACAACCCTGTGAAGTAATTACATGGATGGCTGGTATATTGAGGCCGGTGCAAATGACACAGCCGTGAGAGAACCAGTGGTTGGACTGGCTCCCGGATTAAGGGTCACAGCTATGGACAATGGAGTATGAGGAACATAACTCACATCTTTGGCTTAACATCTCATTTCACATGTTAGTGGGACGCTCTGCTGCTGGGGATGAATGGGGAAAGAAGTAGTTGCATTAGTGAGAGAAAACATGAGAAGGGAAGAGAGCTACATTTCTACTGTGGAAATGTGGGAAAAGGATGAGTGGAAGGTTGGATCGTTGACATTTGGATTGGCCGAAGCTTGGGCTTTGAAAAGTCAGAGAGCTGTCATTGAGAGAAAACTCTGATTGGATTCAGCCTGGTGGAAAGGTTTTCAATGGGAGAGGAACAAGTGTTTGCCATGATTTAAATGTGATTTCATCAATGTTTTGTTGTAAGGCTAACACCTTCTTATTAGCTGTTTATTGGGCAGAAAAACCTCATTTTATTTGAGGCAGTGGGTCCCGCCAGCTATTCCAAAACCCCAATAGTCGAAGAAATGTCTCAATTTAAGGAAAGTCCATTATCAGCCGGTAATCCCGAAAACAGGTGGCCATCGTTACGGAATTGTACACTCTACCTGCAGTGAGCAAATGGCTATATTATAATCGTCAATACGTTTTTCTGGCTATGGTGAAGGCATAACCTGATCTATTGGGCCTCTGGTTGGCTTACCCTGGCTTCCTGTTTGAGGTTAATGGTTCAAAGCTACATTAGCTGTAACTAGCATAACACCCTAAAACGGGTTGCATTCAGTTGCATTGTGGGTGTTGGTATTGACAAGAAAGAAGAATGTCTGGGATAAAAAAGACTTAAGTAATCTTACGTTCTGCTGCATCAATTTCTTTAAAAGAGTAACAGTGTTATAAGAGTGCAATGCTAAATGAGTGGAGAACTCGTTTACATCCCTTCAAGGAAATACCTCCTGACAAGCATATAGTGGCAGAGAGAAAGAACATTCTGTCCTTGGCAAAAGGTTCTTTGCCCCATAATCATTTTTTGCTTAGTTATTAAAAAGCCCTAATTACTAACTTGGGGTATGGAGATTTGAAGGTCCCACTAGAGGGAAAGAAGGAATGAGAAAGTGGCCGCGACTTGCTCGAGGGCAGGGCGCTTTAATAAAACATGGTGTGACTCTGGACAGCAGAGCAGCAACGACCTTTGTCTGTATTTTTGATTATTTGTACTTTTTGGGAATGAGAGGCAAGGAGAGTAAGATGCAATAATGTGCTTCCCCTATAAAATCTTCCACTCCCATAAAGCTGTGAGTTGAAGTTGGATGTTTGCAGAGGTCTGTGTTGCGATACTATTACTTACAGTAATTGGCTTTGTGGCTGTGTGGCTTTCTTGCTTGAAGGCACTTTTTAAACGTCGATAATGGAATGCTTGGCCATCATTTCTCCAGAGGTCATACATGATCTCTATCTTTTTTTCTTTTTATATTGCAAGTTGAGCTTTGCAGGCTAAACATGGGAAACATTATAGAAAATAACCTGCATTGAACCACATTGTTACCCAGCAGTTTTCCAAACAATTCTGATGTCAAACCCCTTTTGAACTCATTATCATGACATGGCTATTACTTTGAACTGTTTTCATAGACTGTTTAAAGTTGTTTATCTAAAGAAACAGTTTTCTTTCTGTTCTTACCTTCAGAAAAACGATGGCCAGTTTACTGTAATCCAGCTGGTTGGGATGCTGCGGGGAATTGCCTCTGGCATGAGGTACGCAAACACACAATGTATTACTGAATGCATCCTTAGGTCACAGTGCTTGGATTTAAACCTCTCCTTTGTCTGTATACATGCAGATACCTCTCCGACATGGGCTACGTTCACCGTGATCTCGCGGCCCGTAACATCCTGGTCAACAGTAACCTGGTGTCTAAAGTGTCAGATTTCGGCCTGTCCCGAGTCCTGGAAGATGACGCAGAGGCTGCGTACACCACACGGGTAAGACTGAGCATGTTGGTGTATGTATAATAGGGCTGCAACTACTTGTTATTTTCATTGTCAATTTATCCATACATGATGTTTCAGGTAATCCAGCCTACAAATCTCTGACCAAGTTTGATCCCAATTCAGCAGGACATCAAAGTTCTGAAGGTTGATTCATTGTAGAGATGCATGAATTGCAATCTTCTGGTCCAGTTCCCCTTTTTGAGATTTGAAAGTCCTACCTGCAGATACAGATTCTTTCCAAGAGCTATATTTGGTATAGACAAACATTTTTGAAACGTTTCTGTGAGTAAGGATAGCTTTTTCTCAACTTGCAGGTGTTAAAAAAAAAATGTCATTTCATTATTTTGCTTTTATCCAAAGCGACTAAAACTCAAAGCAAGAATCCAGCAGGTACATTTCCTATCTATAAACCCAACCAGATTGATTTCTGCAGCATTAGCTCCACTAAAGTCAAACCGTTGTAAGTGATAATTACAGTAGAGAGATTTTAGTTTTTTCTGTTTTCTTTACTCGCACTCAAGCTCTTTTACACTAAGTTGAAGAATTTGATTGGCATGAAAGTGGATTTTTGAGACTAATGTATAGATCTGTACATCAATCATTTGTGAGCACTAGTGTTACAGAGAGAACAAGTCTAGGTAAACTACACGACCCCATGTTGTGTCTTCGAGGTCATTTTATATTCAATCTGGTGTGTATCTCTGTATGTGCACAGTGAATTGCGATATAACAAACTTTTGATTAAGTTGAAAACTACAACCAACACACACATATATTTGCATTCACACATACACACTCAAAGGCGGCAGCAGCGGGTTTTAAATGAAGCTGTGTGTCCCAGGCCTAGTGGCGTCCTGTCAGCCAGAGACCGGCTGCTTCCTGCAGGAGGCGGGCCAATTAGTGCTCGCTCGGTCTCTGCAACACTCAATTAGCACCGAGTCGTGCTGCCTTAGCGCCAAATATCCTGTCATTCACCTCTCACTGTGGCGGGCTACATCTCTTCTTCTCCTCTCCCACTCTCTGACAGAGCAGTGCGAATAACGTAATTCACACCCTTCAAATCGTCAGACCCTGAAATATCCCGCTGCTGTGTTCATCAATACTGCATCAAGCTAATTTCACCACTCATCAGCCCAACACACATTTTCTTCTGGAAACTCAGCAGTCATCCTGTGAACTTTTCTATCTTTCCAATGAAAGAGCGATAATGAAGCAGAGGAATGTCACACCCCCCCGACAGTTGGGACAGGGAATTTGAAAGTGAATCTCTGCTTCATGAATGTGTTCCTTAATTGGTATTCATTAGTGTAATCGTCGGTTGGACCACATGCAGCAGAAGTGTCTCAATTAAGGTCTGTTCTTTGTGCAACAAAATGTGAAAATGTTCAATGCCTGCAGCTGTATGTCTTTACCAAAAGATCGTTTTTGTTGTATAGCACTGAGTTGATGTTGATGTCGATGTAAACATATCAGAGCTATTCATTTCAAGCACCAACACACGTAAGAGTTACATTTTCTAAACCCAGTTTCAGTATTTTTTTTTTTTAAAGTCATCTCGTTACATTTTTTCTAAGGGTGGGAAGATTCCTATTCGCTGGACGGCTCCCGAGGCGATTGCTTACAGGAAGTTCACCTCGGCCAGCGACGTTTGGAGTTACGGGATCGTCATGTGGGAAGTGATGTCATATGGAGAGAGGCCATACTGGGAGATGTCCAATCAAGATGTAAGTTTGATTTGATTTCGCTGTATGATTCTTCAGTTTGAACTATTCACCCCATAATTCAAAATTGAAAGTAAGTGTTCAACCAGGGGTGCATGCAAAAAAGCAGGATTATACAATAGCCATGAAACATTTTAGTAACTGTTTTGTTGCTTTTCAATCCAACAAGATCTTCATTGGCATTGTCTTTCCTCTAATTAACACAATATCTTGTTAGTTTAATCCTTAGAAATGCATTGCCAATTTCACGTTTTACATGGGGATTATGTACCGGACTATACTATACAACTTCCTGGAGTTGCCTGGCAACCTTTCCAGAGCCAAGAAGACATGGTCTGGCAATTAGCAAATGAAATATATGGTATATCTCATTAGTCACTTTCAGAGGTGCTGGTAGACATTTGTTACCATTCGACGGAGCCAATTTAGCGGTTTCACTCGGTCTCCCGGCTGTGGCTATTGATCTTCTCATCTAATTCTCCGCCAGTAAACGAACGAGTATATTTCCTGAAATGTAAAACTTTTTCCTGAAGAGTCTTTCAAAAGGCGGTGAGGAAAAAAACCTGCTGTTTTCAGCAAATGAATTTTGATCCTCAACTAGGACCGACTTTTTAGCCTTGGGGTTGAGACAAGAGTCATTATTGTTTTTTTTATTATTATAAAAATGTTCACAGTGGGTACCAAAAGTATCTAGAAAACAAAAAGTATTTACAACAAACATAAGTAATACTTACAAAGAAAAAAAGAAAAATCCATCAATCAATTAAAAAAACTAGACAAAAGTCTTTGTTTTTCATGATTACAGGTATATTGGTATTTGTTCCTATAGTTATGATTAAATTAAATATATGTTTAAGTTACTGTTATAGTGAAATTAGTTATATTATAATGATGCATATGAAAATGTCTGGTGACAATAAACCTGGCTACAATTTCATATATTATCCCAAAAAACATCCAAATATACTTTAAAAAACTATATAGTGGAAAATATATATTTATTCAACAAACAATTATCAAGTTATTGTGTTAAGTCTTTTTTGATCTGCGATACAATGATAAATCACTTATTCAAAACTAAATCAGTTGACAACATCAAATGATTTATTTCTATAAAAGTAAAAACAATTGACGCAAAACTCCATGCAATGTTTTATTGGGAACTTATGAATTGCCGACGGAGACATAGGAAGAAAAATACCTGTAAGGTGAAATATAACGTGTTTCCTGTCAGAAAGGCTGAATGGAGGTTGAAATAGGGAGGGCTATGCGGGAAGCTGTTATTATAAATATAATACTGCAAAGTGTGGACAATGAGGAGGAAAAACCTTAATGGAAACAAACAGCGAGACATGGCAGGGTGTAGGGAAAGGTGTGCGTAAGCAAAAGGAGAGAGACGGGTGAAAACACATGGAGGTGCAGAGCTAAGCAGAAAACCATGAGCAGGGGAAATAACAGGCTTTCTATATATACACATTATCCTTATGGGTAAAACTGTAGGTAAAAAGGAACAGGATGCCATTCTTTCATCCCGGGGTGTATATAGTCACAGTGGGTATTTTCTTTGTTTATAGCATAGCAGACACACATGAATGCTGTTTACACCCGGGCATACATTTGATTATGTTTTGATTTTATAGGTATTTTTGGAAATGGCATTCATCGTTAATAACTTGTATCAGATATATCTCATTTTTCTTTATCATGTTGTGTTTTTGTACGCCTCACATCTTTTGGAATGTTATGTTTTTTTACCTTGATTTTTATTCATGCAAAGTCAAAACTAAAAAGATTCTCACAACTTCATATTTTTTCATAAAATCCCCCACATTTTGTTTTTAAATATATACATTCTTTACCATATTAATATTTTGTCATTTTCATATTATGTTATACAACATTTGTGCATTCTCTAAAGGTGTGTACAGTATGCTCGTTTATGTGGGTTAAATATATATATAAATAATAGGTTTATATAACACATTAGAGCCTAAGGTTTCAAGAAGCAGCAATTTAAGAAATATTTGGCAAAATGAATAAAATGTAAATGTGTGGCTACTGCTGGCAGTTAGTTACTCAGCAAGATGAAGAAGAGAAGGTGATGAAGACGAACAGGGGTGGCAGGTAGCACCTACTTCAATTTGCAGCCCTGAGGTCATTTTAATGAGGAAAACTGCCATCCTGTCACTAACCGATGAGTGAGAATCTAGCATTTCCCACCCTCTCACACACACACACACACACACACACACACACACACACACACACACACACACACACACACACACACACACACACACACACACACACACACACAGGCAACATATGTACGCACACCCCTCCGGTGACCTCCTCATCCCCTCCTTCAGGCCCCTCCCTCCTCCTTCTGGTTATTAGGCCGTCTGTCTCAGAGAAGTCTGGAGAGGAGGAAGGAGAGGAGCTGAAGATGAGAGCAGAGCAGAGGAGAAGGCGTTTGATGTTTAATTGAAAGCGTTATGCTGGATTTTCTCTGATCTGCGGCAGAAAGTCTCTGGCTCTCACACTCTCTTTCCCTAAGCTCTCTCCTTCGGTTTCCCATTTCTACCCCTTTTTCCTCCTCTCCTTCACCCTCTCTTTTGTCTCCTAAAATGTGCAATCTCTGTCTGTTTTCTTTTCCTTCCTTCTCGCCCACTCTGTCTTTTCTTTACCTCCTCTGATCTTTCCTCCCTGCCAGTCAGCATGTGTAGTTCTTCTCCTCTCTCAGCACGATGTGATGCTTCTCTCTCTTGCGCGCTTTCCTTCGAGCTTACGTTCCCTTTCATTCCGTGTGTGTGTGCGTGTGAGAGTCCTTTCACGTCTGTCTTTTGTGAGAATTTGACTCAAGCAAAGGCTGTCATGAACTCGACAAATCAATTCCCTGCAGTGTCTTGCTCTGGCAGAACTAGGCTGAAATAACTCCAGCCGTGCTATCCAATGCGGGGTCTAACAGAGAGAGCCGCGGTTTATTTATTATTCATCTAAACTCAATTTTAGCCCCCCCCCCTCCAAAAAAAACAACATTTCTGTGATTCAGTGCTGCATCTTGTTACTTGCGGAAATGATTAACTGGGCCATGCAGCGGATCAAATACACGAATAATGCTTTGTTGATCCTCGCAGGGGAGTTGGTTTTAACTTCACGGAGGTTTCAGCGTAGGGTCAGATAGAAGGCAGGAGCATCCCTGAAGCAAAATACCCGGATTCAGAGGAGATTTGGAGGTTTGTTGTGGTCCTGCTGGGAAAAAGTTATTACATGGTTATGCGTCAAACAAGATCGGTCCTCTCCATGCAGTAGATTTCTCAAACTCTTTTTCTTTGATCTTTTCAAAGGTAATAATGGAGGTCTCTCTGGTGCATGTTGCATCATCGTATGCCCTCAAAAACACACAATGCAGACTACATTTGGGGACACTTCTTCTCTTAAATCCCAATTTTTAAACACGCTTTAAAATCCTTTTGTCAGATTTTAAAGATGTAATAGCTGCATGGCTAAATATTGCTCCATGATGATGGTTTAAGTTGAACAGTGAACAATTAGTATTTTGCAGTTACAGATACTATTAAATACCTTTTTTATATTATAGATTTAATCAGATTTATTTATGAACTATTGACGTAAGAGAAAATTGTTTATATTTCATTTGGGTTTGTTGATATTGTGTGTAAGTGTTGTTTTTAATGTAGACCCGAGGAAGCATATATGTTAATGTGGTAATAAATAATGGGAATCCGAAGTATAATTGTTTTTTGTAAATACATAATATGTTTGGAGGAGAGGGTTGAGACATGACAATTGAGGTTTCACGGATATGTCCAACTGAGTGTAACTATAAACTGAGTGTTACTCTTTATCCTTCTTAGCTTGAATGACGACTCATTTGTTAGTACTTCTTTCCTGATTTATTGTACCACTTTTTCTTTTTAAATCCTAACCTCTATTTGTGTTCCTCCATCCCATATTTCTCTCGCAGGTAATAAAGGCAGTGGAGGAGAGCTATAGGTTGCCGGCTCCTATGGACTGCCCCGAGGCTCTGTATCATCTAATGATGGACTGCTGGCAGCGAGAGCGCAGCAACCGGCCCAAGTTTGATGAAATCGTCTGTCTACTAGACAAACTCATACGCAATCCCAGCTCATTAAAAAAACTGGTCAACTCCTCACACAGGTAAGATTATACAAATAATATGATATACAAATATAATATGATATTTGAAAAACATATAAATGTATTTAAATTTTAGCCTTTTTGTGAATATTTTTTAATATTTCAGGACTTATTTATCACTCGCACTTCTAGTAAAAAACCTTTCAAGAAAATATGAATTTTTGTTTTTTCATCTTAGAAAATGCATTGTTTGAATTAACCTTTTCATTTTTATTTATTTTTTCATTGCAATGCTAATTTATTTGTATATGATTCTTCAGTTTGGCAAATTAAAAAACAAACAGCAAAAACATAATACTATAATTGAGAGAAAAACGAAATACTGATCAACTTGTGAAAGTACAAAATAATTTGCCATAGCTATGTTAAAAAGGTGCTCAGTTGAACTAACTTCCAAGCAGCAGTTCGCAATTGTTGGTGTCTGATGGGAAGATGTCCGGCAGGGTGGTGCTGCACACCGGCCTCCCCAGCACCACTACAGGTCTCAGATACTGGAGCTGCTTAATAGCCAGGTCCCCACACCCCGCCAAGGCTTTATCTAAGATGGACTTCAAGTTTTGGACAGATGTAAAGTCTCGAGTCATAGCGTGGGGCTTCAGCAGTGGGGAATGAGTGCGTCTACGGTTGCGAGAGATTCTCAGCTGGTTGTTCTCTTTTACTGAACAACCACGTCTGAAAGAGTCTCGCCGTTTTGCTGCCGGCGCATTTTTGTCTTTCGGCGTCGTGTCTTGTATGAACCTCAGGAAGGAAGACTCAAAGCCTATAGGCTTATAAGCTGTGATGTCAAATGGGAGAGGAGAAGGGCTACCTTTTCATTCTTAAACCCAGGTCTGCAAGCTCATAGATGTAACAATTCAAATTAAATGTAAAATGAGTCTCCATCGAAGACTTGTGTGGCTGCATAATAAAATCGGATGGACATAGTCTCTAACGGCAGCATGCCGGCAAAGAAGAGAAGAGAAATAAATGAAAATTGCTCAATTTCTCAGCAACTCCACATTAGTTTGAATTGGATGTGTGTTGTATTCAGTGGGGTATCTTCTGATAATCGTAACAGTGGAATATTCAATTAGGATTTCCCCACTATGTACATGCATTACATTAGTGTATAATGGCATGAAACGGCTATAAACGCTAGGCAGCAGACATTTAGCCAGACAGCCTCATTACTATATTTCCTTTGTACAGATAATGAAATGATGTGAAATCGTTCTCTTTCCCACTTACACACACAAACAGACACAGGAACAGGGTTAATAATTTAATGCCATATCTAACAGCCCATGCAATAAGATGTGACAGTTAGCCAGATTAAAGAGAAGCCTGTCCTTGTTCCACACTTCTCTCCTGTCCTAGCTACAGCGTGGAGAATGCTGTTAGAATGCTGTTTGATAGCGTGGAGAGTGAGCAGAATCACAAAGAGTTTTCAGTGGACAGCGTTTTCAGCTTTGCGTGATGGTGCATAACTAGCATAATGAAGCATCGCTGTCAGGACTTCGGAGCTCAGCCCTGGGCCTCAAAATGTATTTGATTGCACCGTTCCTTCGTATTTATATGATGATGTTGAACAGGGCTGGTGCGAATGAAGTCTTTAAATTGTGTCAATGAATACTCCCTGAAAAAATGCATGCTAACATTTGATTACTGTCTTACGCTTTCTTTTTCTGCTCTTCATCTTCTCAGGGTTTCCAACCTGTTAGTGGAGCATGCCAGTGTGGAGGGGAGCTGCAGCGCTCGGAGTCAGACGGTGGGCGAGTGGCTCGACTCCATCAAGATGGGGCGCTACACTGAGCTCTTCATGGAAGGAGGTTACTCTTCACTGGAGACAGTGGCTCAGATGACTTCAGAGTAAGGCCACTTATACAAAAACAAGCATGAAGAAGCACTAGTATGTATTTTAAAATAAGTTAATACACCTCTTTGTCATAATTTTTTATAGGGACTATTTATTTGTGGTAGGAAGTTGATTTTAGAAGTCAATTAGCATGATACAGACTCAAATGCAGCACTTAGAAAAACTGAAATAATTTATCATTGCTGCTTTTTTTCATGTAGAAACATTGTCAAAAAAAGGTTTGTGAAGGTCGAAACAATATGCACAATGTACAGATACATACAAATAGCTACAGTTACTCAGAATGACTTATCAATAACTTGATAACTATGATAACTAAGTCTCAGTATGACTTATAAATAATGGCATTATTTTATATTGCTATTATCCCGATATCTGAGAGCTTGCCTTGTGAGTAAATCACACATGTATTCTCTTGCTCTGTGCTACAACATCAATACAAATAGTATCAAAATGCTGATTGTATAAAACATAACATCACTTTTTTTGTAAGTAAAGGGATTTTCTTATCACTTGCATTCTGTTGTTTTGTATTTGTTAGCAGACTGCTTGATAAATAAGGGCCTTGTTTTTTCTGTGCTGTTTTTCAGGGATCTCCGAAAAGTAGGAGTGAACCTTGCCGGTCATCAAAAAAAAATCATCACTAGCATTCAAGAGATGAGAGTCCATATGAACAGCACCAACTCTACTGTAAACATCTGATGCATATGTACAGGCATGCGCACACACACAAATACACACAGTATATGGACCTAGTATGTGACGAAAAAGACTGAGATTTGCTGTTGGACCTAAAGCAGCTTAGCACTTTCTACGGACAAAGGCACCCGATGTTTATGGATCTAAACTGGAGAATCCACACATTTGTGGTTGGTGTGTGTGGAGTTGGCTTGTGGTGTCATCGGGGGGATTTGACATTGCAGCAGTTAAACCAAACTGAACTGAACTGAACTGAGTGGTGCTTCACCGAGGAAAGAGAGCGTGGGGCAACATTTTTCATTTTAAATATTCAGTTTCTGTGAATCTTGAGCATTGTGAAGTCTCTGTTTGGATTCTCTCAGATCAAACATGAATCCTAGCCTGCAGATCTGGCTCTGAGAGCAACCAGCACTTTTTGGCTCTATAACAAATACGGGAGTTTCACGCAGCAGGCTCAAACTGAACTTTCTCAGCCTGTTTCAGGTGATTTGAACCCAGTGGATCTGAACATTTTGTCTGACAATTTTCTCTGGAAATGGAGTTCCATCACGAGTCATTGAGCTGATCGCCATTCTCAGGTGGGGGAAATGTAATAATGCATCAAGAGCAACGTGATCATTAGCTCAGGCAGGTCTTCATGCGACAGGACTTCATTTTGAACACAGCTGTACCACTTATTCAAGGACCAGACTCATATTTAGCATCATATACGCTATTATCTTCTAAAGCAAGACAAGATTACAAAATGAACAACTTCATTGTTGAAAGAGACTGAATATATAATAGAACAGTCTTTGACAAGTGACCCGTCTTGGTCTAGCTTTGTCCAGAAAAGTTTTGGTTTTATCTAAACAAAGTTAGAAAAACCATGAAAAGATACAGGTCTTTACGAATAATGACTCCTCTGGCTGAATGTATAGCACTACACAACACATTACGCTTGGTTGCAGCATCAACTTGGTATTCAAATGCTATCGAATAGGGCTAGAATGTGAGGATAGAACCATTCTGGTCCTAAATCTAGCTTCTGAGTGAATCTGATGATTGTAGAAGACATTGAGCTGGCATCCTGTCATCTTTGCTCTGAAACTGTGTAGAAATTCACAAAAAGACCTTGATGGGTTTTTGAAAAACTCATTAAGTTATCAAGTCCTAAACCACACAGATTCTGATTTAAAATGGCTTCATCTAACTGTATACTTTACGCATGTTTTATTGGGAATTTCACTCGGATGCCGGACAACCCTTCATTCTAGCAACATCACCAAAATCAGTCAGCTTCACCTCGAGGTATAGAAAGAACTGAGATCTACTGGAACCAATTCTCTGATACTGATAGATCCTTCTCCTAGATTCTGATAGACCTTCATACACGTTCTACAATGGACATTGAAAATGCCACGTTCTAATGGAAATATCACGTCATGTTTCAAGGAACTTCAAGGAGGATTCAGCTGGGAGATTCATATGGAAATTCAAGTACTGTTTGATCAATCCAGATGGACGATTGCTCATGTGATTGATTAAGGAACTTCCATTCAGATTCTCATGGAAAGGATCGCCCCGATTCTGGTGGTACTGTTTACTGTAATTTTTATGGAACCCTTCGCTCAGATTTTAATGATATCTATACTAGGATTCCAATGCAGCCTTCACTCAAGAGTGCACTCAGATTTTATGGAGCCTTCACTTACAACCGACAACCTTCAAGTACAGCAGGAAACCCTCAGCAATCTGTTCAGTTCACCAAGCCGTAGTCTCTCTCCACTACCTGTCTGCCACACCACAATAAACCTCATTCTTACGGAACTGCTGAAGAAAAAGGAGGCAATATTGATAATCATTTATTTATAATTGTTTTTAAAAAATGAGTAAAATGGTGTTTGTTTCATCGTTATACTCTCTCTTGGACTACTGAGCAGCTCTGCCTACATGTCTTTCATGTATATAATGTATTATATATTTAAAGCAGGGAGCATTGTTCTTCTGTCTACCATCCTGTGGACAAGTTGGTATTGATCAAGCATCTCATTAGTAAATAGTGACAATTATTCTGAATCAGCATTCCTGCTACTCTGGCACTCTGAGGTGGGGGCAACCAGCACATCTGTCTTCATATATGGGTGCCCAAAAGGGTAGCAGAATTATCAAATATTCATGTTTTGTTGATGGTAATTGTGTTTCATTTCAAGTTTTGGTGAAAGACCTAGAAATATTTCCCGAGGCCCTCAATGAGACAGCAATAGATACTTGCAGGTGTGGGCACAGGGATGGATATATGTACTTCTGGTATGTTTTAAAGGTATACAATGATGTCAATGACCAATTCCTTGCTTTACTTCTCTTTGGTATGTCAAACATTGCTACTCTGTGCTTTATTGATAACACTTGACCCTTCCCCCTTTTGTTCACCTGAGCGGCAAATTAGTTCTGACGGTATATTTATCTTCTTTGCAGATGACATACTAATATTTTTCTTGGTAATACGCAGTGTACTGCTAGTGCTGTGGCTTAAGAGTGGAAACGAAATGAGATTGTAAAGTTAGTTTTTTAAGAAGTGGTTTCTCCTGACTGTTTGAAGAGTATAGAAAAGCACAGAAGAAGATTGTAAGGTTTTAAAGGGGGTATTTCACTTTTTTTGGAGGAAATGTCCCTTGAGGAGTTAAATAGAGGGCCTCATTGGTGGAAAAAAGCCACCGTACTTGCCACCTGATCAAGGTCATGATCATGTTTCTTGACTGGTTTTATAACAGATTGTCAGTGAGGAATGGTCACAATTCGTATTCTTTATGGGCATCGGTTTTTAAAAGTCAAAATGTTCTACCAAAGTGAAAGTTTGCTTGAAAGATAAACATCTGCATAGTCATTTTAGTCTAGAAGTATCACTTTGGAGGTTTGACGCCAATGTGTGTGTGATTGTACTAGATCCTGGGAAAAATGGCCGCCAAAATAGCTGTTTAGCATCAAAATATGTGGGTATGTCCCTCTATTAAGCCAAATTGTACATTTTTATTCAACCAAGTTTCATTCTAAGACTCAAAAGTGAGTCCTACTTTTGGCAGTCAAACATGTATCATGGTTATGCAGATATTTAATTTAGCGGGGGAAGCGTCAACAATATGGTGAATCTTTTATAGACAGTGATAGGCATGTACAGAGAAAGTAATTGTGCTGGCTGATCAATACCGCAGGCGTTTGATGACGTTTTCACAGTGTTCTGATCCCTCCCAAATGTCATGTTATTGGCTTTTTTACAACAAACTTAATTTTCAACTTAAAGCCCACACCTGGGTTATGAACAATTGGTGAATAGTATACACTTATAAGTGCCTCTCATCTTACGAGCACCATTTTTTTTCCTCCCCTGCCAAAATGCTATGCCCCAATTGTGCCCCAACTTTCTATGTAATTTGCTTTTTGCCAACAATATCTACAGGCAATAAGAGGAATGTCAGACAATGTGTATGTTGGAACGAATTTAATTTGCACTTTATTAGAAATCTTGTGCCCTTTTTGTTTGACTAAAAATGTCTATAGGTGACTGACTTTTCAGTGTCAAAGTTGTTCTTAATGATTTAATATATAGATATAATTACAGTATTCCCACTTCATATTCTCAATGCTTCCCATAGTTTTAAATTTGACAGTTAAGCACAAAGCATTGGTGATATTTTTTAAAGACAAATCAGAGCTATATATATGGAAAAGCGTTATTGATGTCGAGCACCATTTTCTTGTGTACGGCACAACGATACACCTTCAGAACGTAAGCACAGGGTCGGATAGGAATCTTAAAGGACGGTGAACGAACGATATGACTTTGTACAAGCGTCAATAGCACTAGCCCTCGATGTCAACAAACTGTGGTGTTTGTGGCATTTTTTGCATTACCACTTGTAAAAAGCAGGTGTTGATGTGTCACTGGAAACAATACAGCTTAGTTGATAGTTGTTGCTGCGTGAAACATCTTCATTAATTCAAGTGATTTACTGTCAGCACTTTTGCAACAACATGATTTTATTCTGGTCGTCTCTTTGTTAAACAACTGGAAGAAACAAAGCACAGCCAACCAGCTGTAAGACTGTAAAGATTGTTGGTGTGTTGTTTCTCTACAATGACTTCCAGCTGTATCTCTCATCAAACATGCAGTAAGGTGTTATGCAGGAGCCCGTTTTTAGTGTCAAATTACATTACCAACATGTTTAATGTTACATCTGATTCAACAACTTTGTAGTTTGAATATGACTTTCAGAAGAGGGTAATCTAATTTATTCACACCAATATAAACAGACATTTCCAGAACAAGTACTTGCAGGTGTACTAATTGACATTTTTGATTGAAAGCACTGCATAAACCGTTGAATAGGAGGTTTGACTGGATTCTAGCAAATGTACAAAAGCAATACTTCATTTCTTATCTTTCAAAAAACATATATGCACACACAAGTGCATGGCAATTTAACAACCATAAAAGGTTGCACTGACATCTGACTGGATTTTAAAATAATAGTGTTGGTATCTTTAAAAAAACGTTAAAAATGGGTACATTTATTATCTCATGGAAATGTGGTCAAAGTGGAACATGTTCAGCTTTCACTCAAAATATCAACATGCTAAAGCAGGTTTGCGGTTATTAGGTTTTCCCCAGGTCAAAGACAACAATCAATTTATCAGTAATTCACTCATAAGGTTTTATGAATAACTGTTTTGTGATTCTTTGAAAGCACAGTAAAGATAATATTGGTGTGCTATTGGTTTGTCTTTGAGACTGTCATGTATTATGTTTGTGTTGATGTTTTTGTAGTGTGTTATAAAATTCTATATTTTTGCAATAAAACTTTTAAAACATCAACTGTTCAGGTAGCTGTTATTGTCTTATAACCTGACAGTTAGGGTCCCTGCATGATATACACAACAGGGGTTTCATTAGATATTGTTTTCATCTATGCATATGGAACCATCCTAGCTCTGAAGTTGTACTAATAGCTATTAAACACACAGATACGGCCACTTGACAACAAGTCATTCTAGCAGCTTGGCTCTGTCTGACAATGGTCCATAACTTTGGAGCAGATTGAAATATTTTAACATCTGATGGATAGATTTTGCTCAAATTGGGTACAGCCATTCATGGTCTCCATTGGCTGAATCCAACTGACTTTGGTGGCCCATTGACTTATCATCTAGTGTCACCAGAAGTTCAATTTGTGTACCTATCCAGTAAAATATCTTCTTGGAACAATTGGATGGATCCCCCTAGGATTTTGTTCAGACATTCATATCATTTATATAATTGTATCATTAAATGTGATAACTTTGGTGATCCCTTCACTTCCAATTTAGTGCCAACATCAGGTCCAAATTTAAATATTCCCAATACTTTGTTTTATGACCAAATATTTTTAGAGCATTCTCTTCAACCTCAATAGTTATTTATTTGGTGCTAATTAGTAAATGGTGAGGTGATAGTAAGGTCATGTTTTTTTCCATGTAATGTTATATATGTGGATCAGTGACGTGCGGTGAGGTTCATGGCTGGTGAGGCACTGACTCACTGAGGCAGATTTACAAATATTATATTTTGACCTTAATCGAAATATTCGGTTATTTTCAAAAGCTTTTTTAGTCTGATGCTTCGATTCATTTTAAACAGACCGTTCAACAAAAGGATACCCAAAATCTAAATATTGGATTGTTCTTTCTTAGTAAGATCCCATTTTCATTACAAATGTGGTCTTACCTTGACTTGAAGATGAAGTCCATGCTATCCTTCTGGACAACAATCTCTATTACTTTTTTGTAAAAGTCCTCCTTATCTTCCTGTAGTTTCAAAAGTCTAGTTTGTTGTTACGTCTACCGTCTCTGCGTAGAATAACAGTAACAACAATAACCTGTGGGCTCACGTGCGCTCCCTTCAGTGCGGCAGAGGTTATGGCTGCCTCCCCTGGTGCATTTTCATTGCCGTTGAGACCAGCGAGCCTAAATATCATATATACGTGAAATAAGTTATTTAGAGACTATGGATGGCGAGGATAAATGTAATAAAGGGATCTACATACATTACATTGGTGAGATGGGAACAGGCATGCGCTTAGGGCCCGCTTTCCAGCCAGTTTCTGTGGGGTGACGCATTCTGAGGTGAGGCAGATCTCATCTGTGCCTCACCTCACCCCACAGTAACTGGCTTGAGCGCGCTCACAAAATAAGTGCCCGCGCTAAATTAGTGCCCGTGCTCCAGCAAGTTACTGTGGGCTTACGAGAGGCAGAGCACGTGCCTGCCTCACTTGTCATCGCTCCCGTAGCGGAGTTCGGCAAATTTGCTGATTTTGACTATAAAAAGCGATTAGAATCATACAGAAATCACACTTACAACACAGATCAGTGGAGACATTTTATTATTATTACTATTTCGTTTTTCTTTAGTTGTTTTTCCGTTACATTGGAGTATGACAGGTGAGGCTCTGCCTCCCCTGCCTCCACTGACTGCACGTCGCTGATGTGGATGCAGCTGAGTGCAAATCGTATCCCTGTTACTGTTCCGACTGTTCATTTTAACCAGTTAATAGACCAAACTACATAATGTGAACTGTTTCGAAGCCTAACATACTTTGTTGGGATTTGTGTTTCATCTGTGTTTATATCCCTTGTTCGTTACTATGTAATGAGCTATTCAGCTAAACAACATAATTCCGGAAAGACGTTTCCCGGCAATGCAATTAGGCATGGTGTATTGATCGAAATACCAAATTGTCAGGGTAACAAGGGAGCTAGTTAGCACTCTTTTTCTTTGTCTAAATTGAGACTGAAAGGGGAGGAGGGAGAGCGGGATAGAGGGAGACAAATGGAGAATAAAACCCAGAGGCAGTTGTTGATCCACCAAGCAAATCCAATACTGCCCTGGTAAAGTAAAGAAGGCTAGCCTCAATAACATCGTCCCCATCTATGTGCTGAGCTATTTGGTGAAATGTATTGTCAACGGTGCTTCATAGCTGACAACACAATCGAGTAGAATACAGTTCATGGTGGGGTTACAGTGATTATAAGCAGTGAAGTATTATAAAATGCATGATGTTTTAAACCTGATGATGCAAGACCCGGCAATGATGTGTCTGTCAGATGCATTAGCTGCTGCTGTCAGCAACTCAGGTTGTGTGCTCGCTCAAGGGTGAAAGCCTTGCTAACAATTAGCATACTATACAACACTGGTATATCAGATTTTGCATACAAATTCATACCGTGTGGTTTATTGCCACTATGTAGGATTTCTTTTGGCAGGTTTTACAATAGAAAATAACCGCTTAATGGCCTTTGCGAGAAAGAAAATCTCAAAATCACACGTTTCATGATTTAAGCGTTAACCTTGAATCATTTGTGAAGGTTCTTACAGTGCTACAGTAGTTTATATGTAAATATCAGCACCAAGTGTGTGTGTGTTTTTATGATGTCAAATCAAGCCTGGCTGATCTCTGGGGGAATCCGCTGCCTGCATGGCTCCAGGTGATTATTGCACTCACACACACATACATGTATGAAGGTGAAATTAGCCATTGCACCATCAGTATGGCTATTACCAAAACCTCTGTATCAGCGACATGAGGAAAAGAGCTGCAGGGTGTGTGTGTGTGTGTGTGTGTGTGTGTGTGTGTGTGTGTGTGTGTGTGTGTGTGTGTGTGTGTGTGTGTGTGTGTGTGTGTGTGTGTGTGTGTGTGTGTGTGTGTGTGTGTGTGTGTGTGTGTGTGTGTGTGTGTGTGTGTGTGTGTGTGTGTGTGTGTGTGTGTGTGTGTGTGTGTGTGAGTGTGAGTGTATTGGGATCGGGATTGCACTGGGGCCATATATTCCCACTGGTGCTGACTGGGATAGTTCTTGGATAGATGGACAGACGTGTGTTTCCTTACATGCCTGCTTGTTTGCCTCTCTGTGTGTTGAGTGTCTCCGCCTGCTACACGCCTGTACATCTTCATATCTGCATGGCATTCTTTTTGTGACTCTATTAGGTCTCCCTGTCTGGCTTTGTGCTCTGTCGAAGTCTGCTGCTCTTTACGGTCTCGTCGTCTACGCCACCGTCACTGTGTCAGTCTAAAGTCAGGTATCCCAGGGCGTGATAAAGTAATTTTCTATTGAAGAGGTGTCAGTGGTCCAGGCGTCCCCAGGGTCATTTGAAAATTCATTGCAGGGGTGTCTCTTTAATCATTATGAGTGACCTTCAGCAGAACCTTAGCTGTCAGTTTAGGCGTGATAGTGTGGGTGTCTGTGAATCTATGGGTCTTTGTGTAAGTATGTCAGAATGTAGGCGTGTCTGTGTGGGTGAGTTTTTCTCTATCTGTATGCGTCTGTAGTTATGCACATCTACACCTGTCTGCTTTGTTTGTTTGTTATATGTGGGCTGATTATGACATGTATACTATTTTTATTTCTTGAGATGCAGGTTATCGTAGGAGTTGTGCAGGAAAGGGGGTGCAGGAAGTACTTTGCAGTCAAAAGATGGTGCTGATGCAGTATTTAGTGGGCTGCTTGTTTAAAATGGAAGTGCTGTTTTAAAGCAGGCTTCACCTTTATATTGTGTTGGGGTTTTTTCCAAGAAGGAATCATCTCTGAGTTGAAATATTAACTGCTTCTCTTTGCATTTATTACTGCTTTCCTACTGCAAACATACCCTTAAGAGCAATTCCCTTTCATTCAAATCTCAATTACAATACATATTTTTGAAATTGCAATGTTTTTGTTGTTGTTTTTTCTCTTTTTAATCATCTTATAAATGGATTTTGGGAGTGTAAAAGTCCACTTTCCGTTTGATCGTTGCTATCAAAGTTGATATTGTTATTGATAGAAATTATCCTTTTCCACTTTAATAGCTAATATAGATTTTCTTTATATTCTCCTTATGTCCAGGTCCAGGCCTCCTGGCTGTCAAAACGTAATGTTTTAAATCACTTTTGTGAGCTCAAGGTGCATATGGCCAGATAAAACTGCTCGCTTTCTTTTTCCTCCGCGTAGCAGCCACCCTCTACACCCATTAAACTGTAACAGGGGGTATGACCCAGACCAAATAAGCTGCTGGTAAATAGCCTTATCCATTCTGCTACTGATCCAAGAAGGCTGCCATGAGAGGGCCGTGTGATGTCAAGTGGCTGGCAAGGACACACGTTTACACACATATACACACACAGACACACACTAGCAGTCTGGCAGGTCTTTGTGTAGCGCTGGAGATAACTCAACACACACATTGGCGCTTGCTCTCACTGTCTCGCACACACAGTATCTTTCTCCTTCATACGACGGCAGCCACAGGGACGTATTTGTCACTTGCCCAGATGTTTTTCCAAGGTCCTTTATTCGAAGTAGTCAATCATATGAGCAGAAATGTCCCTAATGTGAAGTCCCTGTGGTGCAATGGCCGTGTGGGTGTGTTAAAGTTTGTGTGTGTGCACCCATGCATGTGTGTGGAAGGTCCGTCAAGGTGAGATGAAAGTGCATTTGACCTGAAACACAGGGGGGTAATATATTTATAACAACGACAATACAGCGTACACACTCATACAGTTGCTATTTCTCCGGCTTAATGAGGTCTGTCACTCCGAAACACACACACATATATACACACACGTTTTAAGTGACTTGGGCGGGCACACACTCTTTGTTGCTATTTCCTTCATGAAATCAAGCATCTTGAATGCTCACAAACCCATTTCCAGTGATGAAATAATGTGTAATGACTTAATGAAAATGCATGTGAGTTAATACATAGAAGAATATGTCAAAAATCATGGCTAACATGTCAGATCTGTAAATAAAAAATGTTGGTCATGTTATGGTGATATATATA